CTCTTTCCCAAGCCAACTATTAAAAAAATATAACTTCTAATGTTTGGAAAGATATTGCCACTTCTCTTTGGTAAAAATACATTTTACTCAGATGAATAATAGAGCTTTTGACAAACTAGTGTGAAACATTGTATTAAATAACTTGCTGCAACAATGAACGAGTTTCAAATAGAGATAATTTCCAGAAATGACTTTGGGTTCACAAAGAAATTTAAGTTAAACCTCACTCTATCAACTTTGCAGTGGCAAAGCACTTCATCAGTGTAGGAAAAACTCTGTGTTTAAATGAAGACAACTTCCAGCAACACTACACAGAGGTACCATTAACCTGTTCATTTTTCACATGATGTGCTAGTGTTATTTTGTTTTGCTGTGCATCAAAGTAGCATAATATTTTCTCTTTGGTTTACTATTTTGTCTATAAACCCTCTCCCTCCTCTTTTAGCTTGGTTTCAGGCAGTTTTATATTTCATTTTATTCAATGCCTTTTCCATTTCATTTATGCTCTGAGGGACCTATATCACTATACAGTTATGAAGTAAAATCAACTGCAAAGTCCAGAGTCTTTGGACCATATGATAATCACCACAGAGTAAAAAAACAAAGTATTACACAGAAAATTTGGACACTTTTTTTTGTGGCTTTTTGCTCCAGAAAATAATATTAATTTGAAAATATATATACCTAGTAATTTGTAAAATAATACTATCTCCAGAATTTCAGTATTGCTACTACTACTATATCATAAGCCTGACAAAACTTTCCTACTATTTCGGTTTCACTGAAAATTTTAGCCTACTACACTATTAGTACTTCTTCCTTTTGTGTTTTTTGTTGCTTTGTTTTGTTTTGTTTTTTTTACAAATCATAAATGCAGCTTGTGCAATGGCATCTCTTGACATGCGTGTGTGTTACTGCAGTATACTACCCCTTATATTTCCATCACCCAATGACTAGACCACCTATAACAATTTATCAGAGTATATTACATTTTTCTTTCATGTCAGGTAACATCAGACTTAGAATTTAGGTTTTGTCAAATAAAATTAAATTGTTACTTTTTACTTAAAATAGTTTTACACAAAGATGCTTAACTAGCACCCCTAGTGCCTCTGATAAACTATAAAAACAAATCAACTGAAAATATTAACTATACCGACTGACAGTCATAGCAAATTCTCAGAAGAATTTACAAAACTTACCATCTCAATCTCATATCCAGGCAGTCCTCAACTTATGTTTTGAGTTACGTTTCGCACTTACAACGTTTATAAATTGACACCCTGTTTCAACTTTATGATGTCAGTAAGTCTACAACACTTGATCCAATGCAATGCCACACCAGCGAACAAGTTCGCTGGATCACTCATCTCCCTGGGTAACATCTGTCCAAACTTCCTTGGACACTTTCTTTAAGAAAGCAGACAAGACTCCAGAAAAACCTGCAGCCAAGACTCTTGAGAAGACTCCAGTCAAGAACCTTTTAAAAAGTCCAGCAAAGTCACCTCAAAGAAGTCCTTTCAAATTGATATGATTGCTATTCACAATATGAATACATTAATGTAGCTATATTACTCATGTATAATTGATAGACTACAAAATTCTGGGGTATTTTTGGTGAAAATAGGGTATCGGGCCTTGGTTCATGAGTCAATCCCCCATTTATAACATTGTTTCTTATGAGAAAATTGGTTCCGAGTTACAACGTTTCGACTTAAGACGCAGTTTTCAGGAACCAATTCTCGTAAGCCTGAGGGCTGCCTGTACTATAAAGGTTTTACATAACTAATATTAATAAACAGCCTTTTAAGAAAAATATTTTAAATTAATGATATTGAGAAGAGATTATTTCATCACTGGGCATGGGGATAGGTTATCTTTCATTTACATGAGTAGTGTTTACTGGTTTCAACCCTTAAAAACTTCCTCTGCTACATAAATAGCACAAGCAAAATGAAACTCTTAAGTCTTTATCATTTACTAAGCTATACAAAATGCAAATGGTAAATAAGCATCGCAAACTGTGAAAAAATAATTAACAAAAAAAAATTTCCTCAACACTCATATAAATAGATCTCCTGACCTCAAAAGGATTCTCAGATGAGTAACTTGAACATGATTTGACCCTTAAACTTCCTCTATAGATGCAGGAAAAGGTGCAGTGATACACAATGCACGATCCACACAATCATATCTCTTGCCATGCCACCTGTGTATGGCAGGAGGCATGATTGTGGGATTGCATATTAGATTTCATTTAGTCTTATTGCTGGGGCAGGGGAAGCCTGATCCTTGGCTCCCCCTGCACCAGCATGGCTGGGAGCCCCTCAGTTGAGAGAGGGCTCCATACACCTCTGGGACTAATGGATCAAAGCAGCCACAATCTCCCAGGCCCAAGGGTTTCATGAACCCCTGAGCCTTGGGGATCACAGTTTCTATGATCCATCGGGCCCAAGGGTTTTACTCTGAGCATGGTGCACCCCTGCATATAGGTTCCTTATCAGCTGATGAGACTTCCACTACACATGCAAATTAAAACTCAATAACAACCAACTATAAAATTCAGACACGTTTTCAAGATCTAACTTTATAGCTGGCTGGAGCTTTTTATGGTGTGATAAGTTCCTTACAGGTGTAGCTGATCTTAAGGTGATTGTGCAGTTAATCAGTTAATTGTGCAATACTTGTAACATATAGAGGGGACCTTACACTTTCAGATGTTTTGATTTTATGGTCACTGCTTTTACAAACAGTTAAGACCATGTGATTTTTTAAGGACACCACAAATCAAGCCCTAGAGTACATTGCATAATTATGTTGCAAAGACGACATTACATGCAACATAACTATGCAATGTACTCTACGACCCAATTCTGAAGACAAGGTAGATGTGTACCTTATAGCATACAGATGCACAAGTATATCCTCATTAGATAGTCTATAAGTGTGTGTATTTATGTATATGTATATAAACACAGGGAGCACCTACACGAGATAGTTACTGTCCAGATGACTAATTACCTGCACAGTAAACATCTTGCCATCTACACGTGCGCCTATATTAGGCTACAGAAAACTAATTTATTCCACAGCAGGATAGTACTTATAAATACAGCTACTAACCTGCTGTAGAGTAAAAACCTCTGCAGAAGTACATGTGTATCTAGCCCCTCCACAGCACATACAGTTGGCTAACCCACACTGTGCCAGGAGGAGCACTGCCCCCAGGCTTGCAGGCTGACCCCCCTGCAACCAGGGCTGCTCCAACCCAACTCAATATGCTGTGCGTAAATAAAGTCCAGAGCTTTTTGCTCCTGGGCACACATTCAAATTGCATGCTCAGAAGCAATAAACTTCTGGAGCTTATTGCTCTGGAGTTTCATGCATAGTTATAGCACATGTAGACATGTCCACATATATCTACTTTAGTTAGTCTATAAGATCTATATAGATAAAGAGATAGAGAAATAGATGGATAGATCTCCTGATTCTAATCCTTTTTAGAGAGTTGTGACTTTGATTGCAGTGTTACTATTCCTTCATTTACAGTAGCGTCAATAAAATTAGCTCTATTTTAATACCAAAATTTAAGTTAAAAACTAATAGTCTGGTTGCTATTCATAACTGATTAATGTTCAATCATACAATATGTGCCAAATTTTATATAGGTTTTTTTTTTTAAGGCATTCAGCAAGTTTGTACGGAAATAACTTCAACTTTCTGGCTGGGAATTAGACACAATACTAATCACAGCCAAAGTTTTCCACTGTGAAAAGTTACTGGACTAAAATTATTTCTTTCCCATGTCAAAAATTTGAATTCTACTTTCAGAAAATCTAGAAAACATAACCCATGCTTGGAAACTTTTGTGTCTTTTATTATTTTGTTTAGATTGGTGATAATGTTTTTCCCCAGTCCTCAGGGGCTTCATTCAGCATTCCACAGAGAAATAGATTGCAATACTGATATTAGTGACTGGGCAGATTTTTTTTAATCTACATAAAAATTCAAGTTCCCAGTGAAGAATCACAACTGAAACTATATTCTCTAATGCAATTACCCAACCACAATGACTTATGGGAGATATAGTCCATGCTTTTTTTCTCCCCCCAATGCCACAAGGCAGGGCTGGATGAGACTAATTAGTTTGAGAGAGGCATAAGCTTTTGTAGGCAACAGCCTATTTCTTCAGATGCTATGCTATAGCATAGTCTCTGCTATAGCTGCCCTACAGGACATACTTCTGGGTCAAATTGCATTGCCACTGATACATTATTAAAGTCTTATCACCTGGGAGAAGACTACTTCTCAATCAAAATATTAATTTTAAAGCATTTTTATATATACAAATCAAGATTTCCATTCAGTACAGACACTTTTGAATAAAATGTTTCAAGAAATCTGATTTTCCATTAAAAACAGGTCTAGTCTATTTTCTTTGTTTCTTCTAAAAACTACTGTCTATTTTCTCCTATTAATCCTAGTGTAGCCCAGAAAGGCATTTCAGTATTGCTAACTTTCATAATATTTGGTATTTTCCGTGAAGACCTAAGAGTCAGAACACTATGTGGGAATTGCAGCTTTCTTTTTTAAAAACATTGTAATCTTTATCACAACAGAAAAAAGGATGAAAATATGATCCAAGTGAACAATAAAAGGTTTAGAAACCAGAGGGCAAATACAAAAGGAAACCCAAGATTTATTTATTTTTTTAAACCTCACTATTGTGGAGGCCTATCCATGATTTTCTGAACTTGAGCAGTTAGCAGAGATGGCATTTTAATACTGCTTTTCTTAATCTTTGCTCCCCAGTCTCCTTTATCCTATGGTTTTCTTCATTTTCCTTTGACTGTTTCACTTGAGTAAAAGCAAACAGAAGCAAGGGTAAAAAACTGTTCTCTTATTACTCAGTAATAAGAGGCTTTGCTCACATTGCAGTATCCTAAATATAGGTGGTACAGGTACCTACAAACTAACTTTCTACTAAAATAAGTAATTGCTTTTTTTTTTTTTTTTTTTTTTTTTTTTTACAGAGGTACTATATTTGCTATAGATTAGTTTTTGCACACAGAAAACAGGATATAGAAAAAGAAGGATTAGTGGTAAAGTGAAAAAGACATGATTACAAGTCAAGAGAAATTTTGGGGGGGAGGGGTTTAAATTTAAAAATTTCAGAAACACCTCAGAATCAGGTCCAATTATTATATTTGAGCATTTCTTATTCAATAACATAAATGAAAGAAAACTAGCCACAAAGGTTCCAGGTCCAGTGAAATAGTTTACACATTTCAATTTATTTAAATGTTTTACAGTTTGAAGGAAGTAATCTTCAAATACTCCAGACCAGGGTTTCAGTACCCTTTACAAAATTTTCTTTGGAACTACACCTCTTTGGTTTATAATAAAATACTTTTGGAAAACCAAGGATAACATCATAAATATAGGAAATCACTTAGAATAGTTAAAGGATTCAATTGAAAAGGAATGAATTTTCTACTTGATATTTCAGCTTCAAATTGTGACTTCAATACTTTTGTTTTATTTCCTACTAAGATCAGTTAAGGATGAAAAAAGACTCTGATTATACTAGTACACGTAGAATATGGTTAGCCAGTCAACTTCCTCCAAAAAAGCATTAACTATAACAGAAAATGAGAAAATGTTGGAAGAGAACTTCTACGGAGGGTATATTATAAGTACTTTTGGTGGTTTAAGATTATGTGATGAAGTAGCAAGGAACTGTTAACTAATATTTATATAAAAATGTCTATTTATATTTTAGGTATCCAGGTTGTAGCCATATTGGTCTAGAGAAAAAAGCAATCAGGGCTCGTGGTACAGGTGATATCTTTTATTAGACCAACAATATTTTCGCCAAAAAATACCTTTAATTGTAAGCTTTTGGGCACAAACACCCTTCATCAGGCATTGGAGAAAAGATTATAAATGTTCTCTTGGGTAGAAATGAAAGTTCATATTTCATAGGATTTCACATGGGAGTCAATAGATGGAAAACTCCTCTGGGCAGGCAGTTCTTAGCTAATAAGGAGTCTCCCAGCTCTCCTGTGAGGCTCTGTGATGATGCTAATGACCCTAAACACCTTAAGTGTGTTTGTGCCCGAAAGGTAATTTGCATCATCACAGAGCCTTTGGAAATTATTTTTCTATAAGGATATTTTTGTAGTTTTGATAAAATTACTGATCAGCTGTATCTTT